ATAACAATTACTTACACACATATCACAGTCAGCATGTTAGCATCCAACTTAGTCTGTCGTCAATTATTTAACAGAACAAGGTGAGTTTGGAACACATAAATAGTCTGATAAACATTTGTAACTTTAATAGTCGATAGATAACAAAGTAATACTCTATAGTTAATAGACCATTTCGTAACATTTAATAGTTGGGGGACTAAATAGTAGCATCCTATAGTCGATGTGTCATTAGCATGCTTTGCCCTTTGAATTAACTCATACAAGACGTTAATATTTCATGCTTGTGCAGCCAGGAACGAACAAAAAAATTCATGTCAGGGGGTGAGAACTTAATGAGTCATATCCTTGAGTGTTTCACGAGCTTAAATTAGACGTTTATGGTTTTAAGTATCGTTATTGGATAAAAAATATCAATACTGGATGAGCTTGGATGATTTTTAGACATTTTATAATGGTAGTATCGATACAACTCCTTTGGTCGATATTGAGGGTGTCAGTATCGGTAATGGGGATTTTTGACAATTTCGAAGCTATTTTTGGTACTGATACTCAGGGAGTATCATACTATATGTAGGTATCAATACTACCTATTTTGGATGGTTAAATTTGACTTTGTTAGGCTTGTAAGAGCGATGTATAAGCTGAAATGGTTTGTTTTAGCCTGCAAGAGGCTTAAATGGTTAAGTAACTAGAACACTTTTAAGAGTGAGTTATGATCAAAAATAACCTCAATGGGTAGGATACTTCTAAACCTCCAATCAATCGTGTCGTGAAATCACGAACGAAGAATCGTTGAGAAGAATATGCTTGCAAGAGATGATAACCCATGCAAATAGTGTGATAGAGGATATGTACCACATGAATATCCATAAACTAAGGATAAGCAAGTTTCCCTCCAATTTAAGGATGACTTAAAGGAGAGTGTGATGAGGTGTGACTATAGAGTCGTTATTGATTAACCAACTAGAGTCAAATACCAGACTAGTAATAATATACCAATGGGTAGTGGTGAGTATTAATTGTGCTAAGGGTATAAAACACTAAAGATTGTAATAAGCTCTCCATAACATTTTAGGTGAGAGAACGAGGGAGAAAGTGATGAGTGAGGGGGGGAGCTAACCTATTTTGTGTGGAACTATGATATTGCATAGAAGCTTATGAGGTAAGATTCCATAAGACTTATGCCCTTATTTGATGCTAAGGAAATGATAAGAACACTTGAGTATTTGTGTGTGTGTAACGATCATCCAATTGTTTGGGAAATTGGATATATCCAAATCAGTGCGAGAGTACTTTAAATGCTAGCTGGATGTCGCTTGATGCTTCGTGACCAAGACACGTCCCCATTACTCTAGATGAGTAGACAAGTCGGGTATAAGATGATGATGCTTTGCAACCTAGATCTCATTATTAGCACTCGTAGTGTGTGTTATTTGGGGGCATGAAGTTTTAATGCTATGACCTATACCTCATCCTAGGTACTTGGCAAGTGTGCTATTGAATGTAGGATATTGATGTTATATGACCTAGATCTTACCTAAAGTGCATTTCATAAGCTAGAGGGTGTGAGTTTTGTGATGTTGAGGTGAACCTGAATACATCATGATGATACTTATTGTTGTATGATTAGTACCTAATGGTTATGAGTATCTAGTACTATCATTGTCTTGTGTGATGTTGAGTATTATATACGATGATATATGTGATAAGTGATTTTTTTTATTATTTTGTCGTTAATTACTCCTTGTTGTTTCATTGATATTGTCAATTTGGGTTGTTTTTGTTCGTTTTATTAGGACTTAATTTCCAGGAACCAACATTAAAAGAGCAAGTTCCACAATTTTTCAGCTCAGTGCTACACCAACAACAAAACCATACTAAAAGTGTATCACTGAAAGGCTCATGCTATATGGTCTACTTCCCTCTAGTCTACTGCTCTGTTATGTTATGTTTTGCTTTAGTGAGTATACTTGTATACTCATTCTCTACTCTATAGTAGACACTATGGTGCGACTAAGGGGTTGCATCGGAGCTCACACACTCTTCTGGTCTACCGAGGATATGACCTCTGAAATCTCTGCATTGGACATCATACCAGACTAACCCACCCGTCGTGAGTGTCAGGCCTTGGTCTTAGTTAGTCAGCTTAAAGTGCCTCGCGTACTCCCTAAGGATATATCCGGACTGCAACTATGCTTTCGACACTATTAACTTTTCTAAAGGAACTCGGGTGTCCTATTCATTTCCCGAGCATTCAAACAAGACTAGTCTTATTTGATCCTACTTAATCTCGTTTCTATGTTTGATTAAGAAATCTTATCGTTCTCACTTGTAGTCTTATTTGAGAGTATTATAGTTTTGGGAAAACCTCACCTATCTCAAAACATCTCTTCCTTACTACTTAACACAAAACCTTGGTATGGATACTGACCTTACAGTATCGATATTGTCTCTATAATTTCTCTTGAATTTAAGCCTACCTCTTAACCCTAGTATCGATACTGGCCTTACAGTATCGATACCCTCACTTGTCTCTAAAGCTCTTCTTTCTTTAAAGCTTAAATTATACCATTGGTATCGATACTAACCTTACAGTGTCGATTTCCTTTCTTCGGTATCGATTCCCAACCCAAGGTATTGATACTGTACTGCTAAAATGCCTTGCTAGAAAGAGTGTATCGATACTCATATGGGAGTATCGATACTTGGACCTTGGGTATCGATACTCCCTAGAGTACCGATACCAAAATTGCATTATGGATTCCTGGTCTCCATACCAAGCCCCTCGGTCATGATACCAGACCCTTAGTATCGATACTCCTTGAAGGGGTATTGATATTGCTCCTCAAAACTCTTGTTTTTTACTGAGACATGAACAATATCGATACTGCAAGAATCAATCAATACCACTCTTAAACATACTTAATTTAGGCAGGAAAACACCATCCAATCTTCATAATTTTCCTACCTTAAGGTTTCCCAATGTTATTAAGTCTTATTTGATCTTAGTGGTCATAAATAAGTCTCTTGGCATACTTAAAACATCAAATAATAATCTACCATGAAATCTACTCAACATGCTTAAACTCAACTTTCTAACTATCTTGTAATTTAGGCAGGAAAACACCATCCAATCTTCATAATTTTCCTACCTTAAGGTTTCCCAATGTTTTATTAAGTCTTATTTGATCTTAGTGGTCATAAATAAGTCTCTTGAGCATACTTAAAACATCAAATAATAATCTACCATGAAAATCTACTCAACATGCTTAAACTCAACTTTCTAACTATCTTGCATTTCTAATGTCCCACTAAGGATATGAAAGAGTTATGAGTGTGTTACCTGTCCTCCATGGCTGCTAAAACACTTCCTGAATCAATTAGGATCCACTTTCCTTTTATTTGTAGCTTTAGAACTCTCCTCCACCTCTTTAGCTAATCAAAGGTAAAACTAGAATGAACAACTTGTCTAAAACTTGAAACTAAGCTTAAAATACTTTATACTACTTAATATAACTCAAAACAAGCCTAAATCTCTTGGTTCATTTCAACTCCCAAAAACCCATTTTTTGAAAACTTAACCAAAACTTGAGATTAAGGGCTCTAATTGAAGCTTAAGGGAAGGAGATTAAGGTTCTTACCTTGGTTTCTTCAATTTTGGCTTGGAATCTCAAAAACTCTCTTCTTTTTTCTTACTCTTGGGGAGGAAGAATAAGAGAGAAATGAAGAGGAAAGGTCTGGAAGGTTCACGTGAAAAACACTTGGTTAAGGAGGTTTTTATCTATTAAAGCAAGCTATGGGTAAACTATACTTTTGGTCCCTCAGTTTTACCCACTTTTGGTCCCTCATCTTTTTACCCCAACTTAAAACCACCATTTTTCCTATACTCTTGGGCCTTACTTAAGCCCAACACTCTCAAAATTGGTCCAAACTATCTTAGGATGTCTAATTGGCTTGACTTAAAGGTCTCAGGTTGACTCAAACTACTGACCCATGATTCGGGGTATTACATCCATTGATCAAATGACTACTTTTAAAACATCAATGGAAAAGAGAAACTTTCTCAAACATCATTAGTAATTTTATAGTTTACCCTAAAATAAATATATATATTTTTTAATATTCTTAGGGTGCTTATAAAGTCTTTTTTAGTCATTGATAATGCACACACCCATAGGCTCAATTGCTTGAACTCATGACGTTTAAGAAACATCACACTCCCCTTAACTAATAAAATCACTTAATGAGTTCTTAAAATAATAAGTAATAGAAAATTACATTTCAAAATAAATATAAGATATCTATAGCCTTGGGCTTTGTTTAGCCTCAATTTCGATCGATTATCAAAATAAAATTTTCCCTTCGTGATGTATGCCGATTAAAGTCAACGAGACCTAACCCCTACATCTAACTCTTCTCTTCGGTTACGAAGAGACTTAAAGAAATGCTATATTGATGTACTATAAATAAATATAAAATGAACCACATGAGTACTCAAACTCTCAGTTTAACCATCAAATTGTTACATCATTTAATGCACCGCTTCATACAGAATCGGCACCGATTAAAGGAAAAAACAGCATCCTATCAATTCAATAGGGTATCTGAAGGAACTTTAGAAAGAAAAGTATCCCGCCAAGGAAAACCAGGAGGGGGAAACAAAAATCGAGCCTACTTAATAAGCTATACCTTAAAACTGAAAAGGTTCCTTTCCAAAATTCATCATATAGGAAAAGGAATAACAACCACCCTTTAGTTAGGGCTAAACACAATTCTCCACCTGAATCGGGAACTAAAAATGAAGGGAAAATCCAACATACCACAACTGAAACACTCAGTTGTGACACCTTACGTGTGATACACATGAACACCATCAAAATGAAAACGATTATAGAAAATATATTGACAATTGTATATGTCGGAGCGGTGGAGGATATAACAGCTATTGATTTATTGAAGCATATTGCAAGAAACGAAAGTAGGACTTGAAGAGCTGTTCTTTAACCTTGGGGATATGGTTCAAGCAGGCCCAGAATTAAGAAAAAGGTTACGATGAAGACAATATAGGCTGGAATATAGAAATAAAGAAAACTATATCTGTTCATCATGGATGTCCCTTGAAGCGAAGCATCTAGTTCGCCCTGATAAAGACCACCAGGCGGGCTAAAAGCGGATTGGAAGGTTGCAGTTAGAAGCAGTCCTAAGATTACCAGTAACGCATTACGGTCATCGCCTGATATATTATCCATATCGTGAAAAATAACCGATGAGGCTTTTGTATCATACTTAACAATTCGTTTGCCCCACTTGTATTTCAAGCTATTCACGTTATCCTGACATATTTAACAATACTTGACGATAATACATACATCCTCACTTTTGACATTTAGTGACACACTTAGGGTAACGATCATCGTGACATTAACTTTTATGTTACAAAATACATCTAGTGATATAAATTGAAGTTTTAATGACAATAACCTAGATGCCACTAATAAAAAAAATTTGTTGTAGTGCTGATACGATCCAAACTAGCTCCAACTTTTTCCAAGACTTTAACACACCATGGATGTTATTCAAAGCTGATTCTAAGGGAGTTCTTTCTTACCTTATCTTATATATATCGTTTATACATTATATTCTATCATAATCATGCATTCACATGTTAGTGTAATTATCATATCATTCATACCATCCTATGTTTAGTTCACCATATTTTCATATCATTCAAATCTATGATTACATATCATTTCTTGGGATATTATTATTACATGTTTCCATTTATCATTTATTACGAATACCATGTTATATGATATTCATGCATATAACATATCCACATGTTTATATTAATTGTTACACAATGATACTTCAAGCATGTTATTGTTTAATATTAGTTTGCATTCATCTAAGTATGTTTCAATACATTCATGACATGGCAGCATACTTATCATTCATTTGATTAATTCATATGCATTCATCTTAGCTTTTAGGCCTTATACATTAGTTCACATATATTATATGATGATACATGTAGCTCATGACATTGAATCATAGCTCACATTACCATAACATGCATGGCAACAAGGTATTTAGCTCATATCAGCTCAATGCCATGGACTTACCTTGTTTCCTTGCACATATATGTACATTGGAGCATGACACACGTTGGGGTAGCTTGGTGGATTATTTGGACATCATATGCAGTTCATAAACAGCTCACAAAGTACATGGCAACTCGTGGAACACCAAGAAGATGCACATGACCAGCCTTCATCCTATGCACAAGGTTACACCACAAGACTCCCTAGAACACCCATGTGCATGCCATATGACCAGCCCCCATGTGCCTTGCATGTGGTCTCATTTAGGTGCCAAGATGGAGAGCCATCTAACAATTCAACCAAGCATCATCTCCTCTCCTTTTTGGCGCCAACTTGAAGGGATACAAGAGCTATTCGGACAAGGGTCATTACCCTTCATTTAAAACCGAACCATCATCTCTTTTTGTATTTAAATTATGACTTTATAGGGAGACACAAGGGTGGTCGAACCACCATGTATCTATTCGGCCATGCCCCTCAAAAACCTATAAATAGTCCATCATAATTCATTTGTAAGGAGAACTTTTTGATTAATTAAAGTGAGAATTTCTCTTTATTTAAGTTCTGGTGACTTTTATCGACTTATCAAGTATTTTAATACTTGTGGCGTCAACCCCTACCCCTTGATACTTGTGGTTCCTATCTCCATATAGATAATGGGTCCAAGTCCTTATACCACCCCTTAAAGAAGCAATATAAAGTCTGAGTCTTTGCTCTCTATAGCATTGGTCTTCTTTGAGTCTTCTTTAAGATACTATCCTCACAACCAGTCCATTGTTTCATCAACCAAACCCATAGCTAAATCAACATCCTTCCGCTACCATCTCTCAAATCATAAATACCTACCTATTCACCTTTACATTTACCACCCTTAACCATCTGTTTTTGAGCCGTTCACTTATGCAGGTTGTTTTGCTTCCTTCCTAGATCCACAATCAATTGAAGAGGTAGAATTATCTTACATCAAGTGCACGTGCTACATCCAATGTAATATTTAGTATTAGAGTGGGATGAATTGAACCTGAGGTTGATTCTTGGTAGCAGCTACGTGGAGTGCAGTGTTCCGTCTTCGTCCTGTCTGTTCATCACTTCCTGATAATAGTCCTTCTTTCGAAGCGATCGAAGTAGGACTTTTAGGACGTCCAGCCTGTTACTTTCAACATCGATATGCAAAGCAGTGCGATTCTGAACCGTAACATCTCCGATACATTCGGGACTAGCTTGTATAAATCTATCCAACTAGGGGTGCTTAACGAGTTGAGCAGCTCGAACTCGACTCGGTAAAAAACTCAGCTCAAACTCGACTCGATACCTTAATGAGCTAAGCCGAACAAAGTCTAACTCGACTTGATAAGTTTGTGAACAGCTCATTAATTTTTTAAAATATATTTTTAGTAATTACTTCAAAATATTTCAGTCAAAAAATAAATCTAAATAATAATTATTAATTTATTAATAAAAAATAAAAATAAAATAATAAGTTAACTAATATATTATTTTAATAAATAACAAAATATTATTAATTAATAATATTATTTAATACAAAAAAACCCAACCCTAATATCCTCATATAGTACTAGTAATTTTATTTTAGTTGAAAATAAGATAATTTTTTAGTAAGCTTAACGAGCAACGAGTCGAGTTGATCAGTAAATTTTTTTAATGAACATGTGTCGAGCACAATTTTAACGAGCTTAACGAGCAACGAGTTGAATCGAGCAGCAAATTTTTTTAACGAGTACGAGTTGAACACTGCCCAACTCACAATCGACTCGCTCGATAAGCACCCCTATACCCAACAGACTGTTTCTATTTTTAAGTTTACAAAGGTAGTGAAAACGGTCTCGCCATTCTTTCCTCTGACACGAACAACATCTTTCTCAACTTCCAGGAGACGCAGTGCCATCTCTTGTTGCCCCTTTTCGACCGCAATGTGCATGGGGCTCAAGCCTCGGTGGTTTAGCTTCCTAGCGAAGGATGGCTTCAAGCTCATGATCTCCATTGCAAATCCAATGCACCCTTTTTCTGCAGCAATGTGTAACGGAGTCTCGATGAACTCGACCTTATCGAACCGCCTCAAAAGTTTCCATCTCTCTCGATTAATTCATACAATTGCTAACGTGCTCGACTCAGCAGCCGTTATCAAATTTTCAGCCATGTGAGGAGGTAAGGAGAAAATTATAAGTGTAGACACTCATTTTCGCCTGAAGTTATTTTGTTTATATATATATATATATCATCGCCTGAAGTTATTTTGTTTATATATATATATATATCATCTTATTATATATATATATATATATATATATATATAGTAATATAGTTTGTGAAAATGTTTTTGACAAAATAATATATAATTTTCAGAAAATGATTTTGAAAATTTATATATATAGTTTTTTTGAAAATATTTTTAAAATATATATGTAGTTTTGAAAACATTTATATACTATATAGTTTTAAACACTTTGAAAACTTATATAGTATATAGTTTTTAAAACGTTTTAATATAATATAGTTTTAAAAACTATTTTTGAAAAATTATATATATATAGTTTAAAAAAATAGTTTTTGAAAAAATATATAGTATATAGTTTTAAAAACATTTTTGAAAAGTTATATAATATATAGTTTTAAAAATAGTTTGTGAAAACTTATATAATATTTTTTAAAACATTTGAAAACTATATAGCATATAGTTTTGAATTTTTTTAAAATATAATATAGTTTAAAAAAATATTTTGAAATATATATATAAATATATTTAGTATATTATTATTATTATTATATTTTTATTTTATTCATTTTATTTATTTTAATTCATTTCATTTTCTTTTCCAGGTCTAATGTTTTGGACCGGTTCAAAGTGGTCCAACAACAGTCCAAGTCCAACCAGAACGGGCCTGAACCAGCCCACACAGTTAGGGTTTTCACGTTTGGAACCGGCTCCGCATAGGAGAAACAGAGGGTTCCAGAAGTCTAAAGCCACAAACGGCAGTCAAGGGACCACGCACAACGGAGCGAGATTCCGACGGGGAAATCGGATACCAAAGAACCACGGTTATAAGGGTAGAACGACCAACAACACAAAAAAAATCAAAAACATTCAAAGCCAACCAACAGCAAGGCGAGACAACCAGAAACCATCATCGAGAGAGAACATTTCAATACCAAAACACGCAAAGCCGAAACAACAAATAACAGAACATCACGTCACTACCCATACAGACGAAACCGAGAACAAACGAAACCATACACACAAAATATAAAACCAAAGGCCGAAGCCCACAACAGAAAAATCCGAGCAAATATATACAGCAAGCAAGACAAAAGGAAAAAACCAGCAGTCACCGTGAAACGGTGAAATAACGACGAAAAGGTAAAGCCTTTCGGCTTAGATTTACTCCAATCTAGTGGCTCTTTGGTGGTTTTGAGAACAGATTCGGCTTCGACGTGATAGGAAGCTTCTACGTGAGTGGGGCTCGGAGCGACGGCGTGCGGTTGAGTGGGCCACCAGACGGTGGTCGGATATCGCCCAGGGAAGGGCTGTTTGAGAGCATCTCTCGGCTGAGAAGAGAGAGTTTCTGGGAAATGTTGGAAATGAAGTGAAATTAGGCTTATTAGGGTATATATACCAGGGACCCGTTTGCAATTAATGAATTCTTAAATTCTCTCCGCAGTCCCTGATGGTTTGAAGCGCTTTCAATCTAGTCACCAGTGTAATGTGGCCTCTGAATTTCCAATTTAATCAATTCGATCCCTGCTTATATTTTTATATTTTGTGAATTAACCCCCTAACTTGTTTTTTTCTTTTACAGCCCATTTTTCCCCATTCGTTTTAGTTTAATCCTCTATTTTATTTTATCATCATTTTTCTCCATATTGTTTTATTGCTTTTAAAATTTAATCCTTTCTTCATTTTTCCTTTGACTTCTTATTTATTACTTCTTTAAATTATTATTATTCATCTTATCATTTTCTTTAATTTTATTATTATACTAACATTCTCTTTCCTTTCTATATTCATTTTTTTCTAACATTTTTCTTCTTCATTTTCATTAGTCATTCAATCAATCGAAGGTAAGCAATCCGAATCGGGTAATCTAAAATTTAATTTAAAATTTGATTTCGCAACTAAAGGCAACTGACAAATTAATTGGTTTTCATTAGTCATTTCAATCAATCGAAGGTAAGCAATCCGAATCGGGTAATCTAAAATTTAATTTAAAATTTTGATTTTCGCAACTAAAGGCAACTGACAAATTAATTGGTACCGAAAGGGCGGTTCAAGGGTGCTAATCCTTCCTTGACCGTAACCGACTCCCGAATCTGACACGTTTCTGGTAAAAAACAGATCAGGTAAGATGGTGTCCGATCAGCCTAAATATTTTTTAAAATGATCGGTGGCGACTCCCAATCCAATAATCCAAGTCGAAGCCCAATTCGAGGCCCTACCGAAATACGGTTCCGACAATAATAAGGGATGAAAATTGAAAGGGTTCAAGGCAACTTGTGTGGGGAAGAAAGAGGAGAATTGTTTAGTTTATATATGAATTGGTACCGGTTTCAGTCATGTTCAAAGGGGCTTGTCTTGGTTTTGCAGCTATGCTACGCATTTTGTGTAACGCGTTGGAACATCTGTTGTGATAGTCTAGATGATAAAGTATCTGGTTTTATTATTGTCTCATTAATATGCTGTTTATTACATCATGCTTAAATTATTTTTTTAATATTATTAATTGTCACTTAAAGGTCATATTGAACTTTATAGCTCGTTGTGTTACTAGTTTATATTTTCAGATTATCCAGATGTAAGATCAATTTAACCACCAAAGGTATAGTCTCTACTTTATGTTGTGTGAGGTTAAATATTTATTTTGAATACCATTTAACAGTGACCGTCACAGTGATTTAAATTAAGGTTGTTGTCGCGTTTTCGGTCATATTGCATTTATCACGGTTGCTAATATAGCGGATGTTATTGTAGTCATTGTGGATATCACGATCGTGCATTTTTCTAAATGATTGGATTTAAAAAAACTGTTTTAAAAAAATAAAATAACGGAATAGCGGTCCACTATAACCGTGGTTTGCTGCTACCCGTTAAATAGCGTCCACGATTCACCACTATCGGTGTGATTCTGCTTTACACCGCTATTTTTCGCGATAGCAGTCTCGACCGCCGTTGCCACCATAATATAACGGATGCTATTTGAATCCTTGACAGTTACATCCGTTTATACTGATATTGTATTTGATAAATATTTTCAAAGACAATTTATCAACTTCCGTTGAACACTTCTATATTCATTTTAGTCATTGTGGGTATCGCGGTTGTGAATTTTTCTAAATGAGTGAATTTAAAAAAACTGATTTTTTTTATAAAAAATATAGCAGAATAGATGTTCGCTATAGCTGGGATTGGCCTCTACCCATTAAATAGTGACCATGATCCACCGCTATCGGTATGATTTCGCTTTACTCCGTTATTTTCGGCTATAGTGGTCTCAGCCACTGTCGCGACTGCAATATAACAACCGCAATTTGAACCTCTGACTGTGACGTTTATTCTGATATTGTATTTAATAAATATTTTCAAAGAAAATTTATCAACTTTTATTGATCACTTCTTTATTTATTGTGACTTCCATGATTCGGTTGTAACTTTTAGATCGAATTTAGGGAGTTACAACTCAGAAGAAAGAGGAGCATTGTTTCTTTATATTGGTTTCAGTTTTTCGAGGGTGCCTGTCTTGGTTTAGCAGTTATGCTACACTTTTTGTGTAACACATTGGAATATTAAGGCCTGGACATGTAGCATTCAATTGAATCTTTTTATGTTCTGGAGACTGAGTTTAATGAAGTGTTTGAGACTTTTGTCTCAGACTTTGTTTTGGAATGGATGTTGTACTCGCAAAGTTGAAATGCGACAAGGATAGACTCCCAAGGTATCATGTTCAAATCCGAAGTCTTTTAGTTGGGTATCTCAAGGTGTCATGTTGTTTTTGGTTGATGGTTATCGGGTTTGTAATTCTTTGAGTTTTAGCTTTTACCTAGTTGGTTATATTTTCCCCTCTATGTAGGTTTAGCAAAGTTTTTTTATAGAAGCATATAACTTAGGTTTGGGGTCTTTAATCCTTAAAAATTACACTTTTCGAGCAAAAATAATATGATTTGAATTTTAATCGATTAATAATTAATATTAATAATTAAACATAAAAAAATGATTTGATCATTATCATAAAGATTGTCTAAACGTAAAGTTCAGCATCAATACTTGTATTTTGATAAAAGTATATAGTATAATCACGCAATGGTAAATTCAAAAATATTTTTTTAAAAGAAATATATATATTCTTAAAAAAAACTCTATATTCTTAACATTTCTAATATGAAACATAAAACGTTATCAAGTTTCAACTTATACAAATCATCACTAAGGTTTCCAAAATTAATGCTATTTTTACGTAATATAATGTTGTAAATGTAGTTATGATCTTAGGTTTCGATTTTAATTATCGTGACTGAATCCATTAGTGACTTTAGTGGTTAAGAATATTGTTGTTCTCTCTAGAGGTTTTAGATAAGAGCAATTGCGTCTATAAGATGTGTGTTGTTAATAACTAAAAAATGAACATATATTATCTTATAAGCACCTCATACTATTTCAAAAAAGAAATTATTGTGACATATTATGTATTCAAAAACGATGTACGTAAAAATTGTGTCACTTGTGTGAGGAAGAAAGAGGAACTTGTCTTTTTCTTCTTTTTTTTTTTGTTGCCCTCCAGTTCCAAGGCTTCGTCTTGATTAATTTGAACTGACCCGAGTCGTACACCTGACTTTGGTTGGTGAGTCTCGCAGCGGGGATTTTCTACATACACAAGGACTCGAACATGAGATATTGCTTAAGCGATATCAAGCTGCTTACCACTTGAACCAACCCGTTAGTAAGAGGAGCTTGTCTTCGTTTTGAAGGTATGTTACACTTTTTGTGTAACACGT